GCAGAGGGTGTGGTTTGGGCTTTGCTTCTGTGAAGATTGACAGCCTGGGAGACCCTGTGGGGCAGTTCCACTCTGTCCTGAAGGGTGGCTATGAGTTGAAATCCACTGGACTGCAACAGGTTTGGTTCTGTTTTTGTTTTATGCCTAAAGTAAGGAGTTCTGGTGGTACAGTGGTTAAGAGATCAGTTGCTAACCAAAAAGTTGTACCCACTCAGTGGCTCCATGGGAGAAAGCCGTGGTGATCTGCTCCCATAAAGACTACAGCCTATAAAACCCTATGGGGTTACTCTGCTTGGCCCCATAGGGTCGACAGGGGTCGGAATGTACTCAATGTCAAACAACAATCACACACACACCTACGCGTGGATGGCAGCATGTTCCACCTCTTGCTCTTTTCTGCTTTCTGCTCAGGTGCTTTCAAAGACCCTGCCTACCTCAAGTGGCCGTTTCCCTTCTGAATGAATTGTCCAGCAATCGTTGGAACATTTCGCTTGAACTCTCCCTGTATTGTTACTTAAGCAGCACGTGTGTGTCTTCTGTTTTGGCTTCTGTTGTTCATTTGTCTTCGGTGGATATCAGTGGTTTAAAACAGGAAAATCCCGCTTCTGTTGTTCGTGTTGTTAACTGTCCTCCAGTCGGTCCCGACTCACAGCGATGCCGTGTACCACATGGTCCTGTGACATCCTCACAGTCCTTGCTGTGCTTGGGCCCATGCTACAGCCACTGTGTTGAAGGTCTTCCATCTCACTGAGGGTCTTCCTCTTCTCAGATGGTTGAAAGAGCTTGCCAAGGAGGAAGAGCTCTCCCACAGGCTGGGGGATCTTCCTGCCCGTGTGGTACTGGGGAAAGGGCCAGGGCGTCTACACCTGCAGTCCGCTAGCCATGCAGTCTACTCAACCCATCTGCACTCCAACCTCCTCATCCATTACACAGTGATGGTCATGCCTGGCCCATAGGGAAGTGAGAACTCAGTGAAATGATCACAGTGCCGCAGCTAGCACACAGCAAATGTGTCTTTCATCCTTAGCAGCAGGCACAGTGTATGTTAAATGACTGGCAAACACGTCCACGCCAATTATATCCACCCGCAACCTTCCTAATTGCCTTTATATATTTTCAACACTATTACCCCAAAGCGTAAAGATTACACAGGACTATTTCTTTTCGGCCTACGAGGCCCTCTGTCCCGCAAATATACAAATAGGTCAGTGTGGCATTAAAAATATTTTGAAATAAAAGAGAACTACGTAATGATAAGGAGCTCTGGTGGCGTAGTGCCTAAGGCACTTGACTGCTAAGCAGAAGGCTGGAGGTTCAAACCCACCAGCCACTCCTCGGAAGGAAGGTTGGGCAATCTACTTCGGTAGTGATACTGCCTCGGAAACCCAAGGAGGGGTCGCTATGAGTCAGGGCTGACTTGACGGCACACAACAACAACAAGGACCTCTAGTGCTACTGAGGTTAAAGCAGTGGGCTGCTAATCGAAAGGTTGGCAGTGCGAGCCCCCCAGCTACTCAGTGGGGGACGGGTGAAGCAGTCTGCTTCTGTAAACACTGACGGCCTTGGAAACCCTCCGGCTCAGCTCTCCTCTGTGCTGTGAGTCAGAACCCACTCCACGGCAGTGGGAGCGATACTTGTATTTTGTTTAAACAAACACAAATATATAAATCCTGTCAGTGTAACCCTGAGAAGCCCAGGTCTTTGCACATTTCATCACAATATTTTACTTTGTCTTCTCAAGCCACCAACCGAAACTTTCTGTTCAGCTCTTTAACTTCATTTTTGCATTCGCTTTAGCTACTCTGTGTCCAAAGCAAGTTTCAGAGGCTCTTCTGACATCCATTTTGGTCTGTTCTTTCCTGTCTTTTTACTGACCTGTTAGTTTCTTCCTGTTTGATGTCCTTGATGTCATCTGTTCTGGCTCCCTGGTGCCACTCTGACAGGAATACACCACCAATGGATCGCCTTAACAAACAGGAGCTTATTCTCTTACAGTTTGGAGGCTTTAAGTCCGAGTTCACAGTGCCAGGCTCTAGGAACTGGGTGAAAGCCCCTCAACCTTGGGATCCAGCTCTGCCTCCTGCTCCCGGCCCACTGGAGCTAGAGGCGTTTCTTCACTCAGAGGGCTGCTGGCTACTGAGGCTGACAAGCCCAAGGTCGACAAGTAAAAAGATACAGTCCCGATGCTACCAAACCACACGGCAAGCCATTCATTCAGGTCCATCGTAAGTCCCAAGGTCGGCAGAGCATGGCAGGCTGCTGAGCAACGACACGGCTCCATGCAGGGTCCAAGTGTGTCATAGGCTAGAGACCATTCCCAAGGCTTCTCCTTAAATACAGGAAGCAGACCACATCCCAAAGGCAGCCACTCAGCTGCTTGTGGGAGATCCCACCATGGAGTTGATTGCCAGTCTCATCACGGGGACTAACTACCACCAGCTGCCCAGCCACACACCCAGGCCCAGCCACGTGGACACACAAACTGAACTCCCACATCACCCCACAACCCCTCTGGTCTCCAGTCCTTAGTGAAGAAGGACGCTGGTGGGGAATATCAGGCTGGGTAAAGCCAAAAGGCAACAAGAAAGAGTTAGACCGTCAAGGAGGTGGACGGCCACAGCGGCTGCAACAGGGGGTCCACGCAGAGCCACGCCTGTGAGCACGGCACGGGCCAGGCAGCTTCCGCCCTGTTGTGCTCAGGGTCGCTATGAGTCAGAGCACATTCAGTGCGAATTCAGGGTGCTGGCTCTGGGCAAAGGTCCCTGTCTCCTTTCAGCATCTTTGGACGTGGCATCAGTCTTCTCCTGGGTTTAGGAGGTTCTGAGCATAGGGACCTCAGGTCCAAATGATGAGCCCCACGCTGGATCTTCTTGCACAGTGGGCAGGCCCCGCTCCTCTCTGCTTGATTCTCTCTCCTTTTTATCTTGTAAAACAAAAGATGTGGCTTGAGGAAGGCTGTGACTTGGGTAAGGGTATGACTTGGGTAACAGTGTGACTTGGGTAACATTATGACTTGGATAAGGGTGTGACTTGGGTAAGGGTATGACTTGGGTAAGGGTATGACTTTGGTAAGGGTGTGGCTTGGGTAAGGGTATGAGTTGGGCAAGGGTGTGACTTGAGCAAAGGTGTGACTTGGGCAACGGTGTAGCTTAACTAAAGTTAGGATTCCCAACACGTCTTGGAGGGACACAGTTCCATCCATTGGAATGTGTGTATACAAATTCATTTCAGTTTGGCTAATCTGAGCTTGTGAGAAGTACATGGGATCTCATGTGTTGATGACAACTTTTTCATGACTTTCTTTGTTTATATTAAAACAAGCTCACCAGATTTCTCTTGCTGGGGCAAAAACACTCACTGCAGTGTGCTCCAGGGCTATTTGTATTCAGACAGGCATAGAAAGATGGTGGTCATGTGTTTGCCTCATAATGCATACTATATAGTGTTTCTCTCATAAGCACAAGAGATAGCACATATGGCTGTGTTACAAAACAAAACATTTCTCTGATCATGTCGCTGTGTTAACTTTCCCCATCCTAACCCAAAATAACCCTTTGAAGTATGGCGTAATGGCTAAAAGAATGGAATTTGAAATCAGATAAGCAAAAAAAAAAAAAAACACCCATGCTCTCAAGTCTATTCACAGTGCCCCTAGAGGACAGAGTGGAACTGCCCCACAGGGTCTCCAAGGCTGTCAGTCTTCACAGAAGCAAAG